GAGCCGTTTTAGGTAGGCGTGGTTAACTCTTAACTTTTATAAAGAATATCTCTTTGGATTTGAGACTTTTTTCTTTGAAACTTTACAGATCTTCTTTACCAAGAGCTTGTAACACTCCAAAGAGAAAGGAAAAATTGAAATCGCATCATATGACCCCTTTAATGGGATGACCAAAACATACTTTGTTTGTGGTAAACAAACACTTATGTAAAATTAAAAAAAATACATCAAATCACAATTATAACCAGTTTATAACAGCAGAGGAGCACTTATTGGCTTATTAGTCATTCATTTCTACTTTTTTTCCCTATATTTTGAAATGATAAAATCCCTATTATAAAATATAAAATCATCAACAAATCAGATTTTGTCAGATCTTTACACTTTTTTTGTGTATGAAGTAAGAAAAGTCACAAAGTGCCTTGAAAAACAAACTTTTCTTCAATTTGCTACCAAATCAAACATAATCACTGAAGTGGGTCAGTTCCATAAAAGAATAATGGTACATTTAATAAGAGTGGAATATATACAGTTTCTATATAAAAATTAGATTTTGCACCTGTTACTGTTGTTAATAAGCCTGTGCCTGAGCCTGTGGTTCCCCCACAGTTTACATTGGCCCTAGACATAGCCTATTACAAATCACTTTGCGTCTTCTTCACTCACAGCGAAGAACTTCCACACTGACGACATGTTTACATGCGGATGTGAGCATAAGTGTGACATCAAAATGGATCAGTGTATCTCTTATATGTGACCCTGGACCACAAAACCAGTCTTAAGTCGCTGGGGTATATGTAGCAATAGCCAAAAATACATTTTATGGGTCAAAATAATTGATTTTTCTTTTATGCCAAAAATCATTAGGATATTAAGTAAAGATCATGTTCCATGGTCCTACTGTAAATATATTAAAACTTAATTCCAAACTCACAACAACATGCAGAGATGGAGTTTGAGACGCCCTACACATGTAATGGCGCTTTTCCACTGCGTGGTACGACTCGGCTCAATACGGTACGGCACGTCACAGCTCGGCTCGGCTCGGTTTGCGTTTCCACTGCAGTTCAGTACCGCTTTAGAGTGGGCGGGGTTAATTAAATTGTAGCGCTTGTGAATTCACAATTATGCTTAAAGGTGCTGTATGTAAGTTTTTGACTCTACTAAAGCATAAAAATACCATAATATGTTTGCAGATATTTAAGAAACATGCTAAGTTAACATACTTGTTTATCTGAAAAACAATGCTACAGTCAGCTATTCTCCTTTGAAAATGTGCGTTCTGGGCCGGAATGTTGGTCTCTGTTTTGGTATGTGAACCGCCCACTGCCAGTTTACCCAATTGTATTTCGTCACCCCAGGTTGCCAGTTGGCGGAAAACAGAGCGTTTTTCATTTCATTCATCGTCAAGTGCGCTCGTTCCTGTTGGTGTCGTCAATCTGGCAACCTGCGTGTGCTTCAAGTCTGAGGAGGAGGGGTCGGGTGAAAAAAACCCTCTCCAAAATGTAATGTACAAATGTTAATTTTCTGTGAAGCTGCTTCGCAACAGTGTATCATGAAAAGGGCTACACAAATAAATGTGAATTGAATTGCAAACAGTTATTAATTTATTTATTTTGGCACTATATACATTCATTGCAAATTATGAAAATTAAAAAGTACTTTTTTTAGTACTTTAGTTTGTATTTCTTTTTTTTTTGGGTGGGGGAGTGGGGTTGAGTATCACCACTTATTTTTTTCTACTACAAGCATTGATTGTGTATCATATGCACACCAAACACGTGCGTATCATATGCACGCCAAAGTCAATTTCTGCATAAAAATCGCATGCCAAATAGAAACAGAAAATCGTGCGATACACTTCCATAAGACCGGACTCATTTGTTTTTTAAATGCCATATCTGTCACACGTTCTTAGCAGCTCACAATTATTTGTTGTACCATAAATGTAACAAAAAAGCTTTTAACAAAGTTAATGTAATGACCTGTGTTTGATGACTTTGATTTATGGAGTAATTTGGATTTCTTAACCTGATAAATTAAAAGGATTTATGTTAAAATAACACTGAGCAATAACATATATTTTTGCATCTATGCAAATGCATATGCAATATTTGTAACTTAAGTAATAATAAAATAAGGAGACAATATGTTAAGGAGTAGTAACATTTGTACAGCCTTACAGTTACAACTGGCCCTTTGATGGCAGTCATAATGTTGAAGTGGCCCTCAGTGAAAATGAGTTTGACACCCCTGATTTAATGCATCCTGTTAGCCTACTTCCTTCGACAGCGAGAGACTGTTTAGTACTGCAAGTGGCCCTTGAGTTTGACCCCCCTGATTTAATGCATCCTGTTAGCCTACTTCCTTAAAAAAAAAACAAAAAAAACAATTATCAGCCTTCATATGGTCTTGTAATTTCTGCTCTTCCTGAAGAGGACAGAGCTTGTTAATGTTCTACGTTGACATTCATGTCAGGAAAACGTCAGGCACACTGTAAAAAAGAGGGCCACTGAGGATTTTGCCATGCATGTAGTTTAACAGGTTATGAGTGAGGTTTTCTCCACACAAAAGGAAATCAGCAGCGCTGGCAGCACCAAGAGCTGTTTGCTCGAATCCATTCCAGCACTGGCACTTTCCATCGAACAAGCTAAGCCTTGTTGAGCTTATTTGCTCACAGTCTGGAGCTGCTCTTGGCTGGAGCTCCCCTCAGTTACATCATTGAGAAACATGGTTATGGAAAATTAACCGACACAAACACACAAGCTGTTCAGAACGAATATTTCGTTAGTTTGTGCAAATGGCTTGTGGTTGTTTGCTTATGTGCTATATTGGAAGTAAAAATAAACATTGTAGTTTATGTTGGTCTGTTTGCCGCCGTTTTTTTTTTTGTAAAACTGAGGTTATTATTAGTCAGGGAGGCATGGTGGTATTTTTAAAGAACGACTGCATTGTATACCAGATTAGTTTGCGTTTACACGATTTTGACAAATTATTTTTTAAACATTGAGGTTTACATTATGGTTGAATTGAGACAAAGTTGTATTATTTTCTCAATGTACACAAAAACATTCTGACAATCATTCTACAAACTTTCCCAGAGGAAATTTGTACCTTGAACCTTTAAAGGACTGTCACAGACTAACCACGTCTAATACTTTGATAAAAACAGTGCCATGTGTATTGGCCTTGTTCTCCAGTAGCTTTAATGTGCTCAGTTTTTTAAAGCTCATTTATTTGGAGGTTTGTTTTGATGAACTTGCAAATTCATTTGAGTCACCACTCAAAATGTTGAAGTCAAAATGTTGCACTGTATTTTATGGGTACTTTTTGATGGCGAGATACAAAAGTTGGGGTCGGTAAGATTCTGTAATGTTTTTGAAAGAAGTATTTTATGCTAATCAGTACTACAGTTGTTTTATCGAACATATAGTACAACTGGTAATATTGTGAAATGCTATTAAAATTTAACTGTTAAAAATAAATGTAATTTATTCTTGTGATGACAAAGCTGAATTTTCAGCATCATTACAGTCTTCAGTGTCACATGATCCTTCAGAAATCATTCTAATATTCTGATTTGCTGCTCACGAAAAACATTTCTTATTATCAGTGTTGAAAACAGTTGTGCTGCTTAATATTGTAACTGTAATAGCTTTTTTATTTTTTTATTCTTTGGGGGGAAAAAAGTTCTAAAAACAACAATCTTTTGTAACAATGCCTTGACTGTCACTTTTGATCAAATGAATGCATCCTTGCTGAATAAAAGCATTAATTTCTTTAGCATTAAGCATTATTAAGCATTAATTAATTTAGGATGGCAAATAATAAAGACTTTTTTATTTTCTCCCTGTAGTGCGTCAGGACCCCATTCTGGGATCCAGTGAGATGTTCAACAGCTTTTTGAGAAAAGCTCAACAGGTAGAATTTCTATACTCTTTTTATTTGGTAAAAATTTTTAATTATTTATATTAATTTCATAATTTATTCTCATAATTGCAAATCTAGTATATTAATTGCTTCTGATTGAAATATTGTAAACATGCATATGAAAATTTATTGTAAGTTTACAGATTTCCAGAGCCTATGATAAAAAATATAACTGAATAGGGTTTTCCTCTCCATGTTCAAAAATGTCATTGCCATTTTTCTGCCTCTTTATTTGCATTTAGTGATCAACATTTGCATATTTTCTGTTATGTACTTTATGGCGTCCACAGTGACAGTTTTCTGTCATAAAACCTTAATCATTTGAATCTGCCTTTCTCCACCTCCCCATTTTTTTCAATCTAAAACACAGAATCCAAAAATTTTAGGGAAAAAAGCCATTTCCTAGTCATCCAGTAAAAGGGTTAAACATTGGTTGGTCTGATTCTTCTCATTTCCTCATTAAGATATGCTCATGTGTGTCGATTGAAGATCCAGTCCATGTGCCTCTCTCACTTCCTGACATTCCACTACCATCCTGTACTACATTTGTTACCTGAATCACATAGATTGCATTCATTCTTCAGGAATTTCATTCCCCACCCCACATAGATATTGGCAATTTTGCAGTAAGATCCCGTCCATCCCCCCGGCTGCCCATCAGAGAGCAGTCTGCAGGAACAGAATAGGGGATTAGACTTGGCCTTGCGTTTTCATTTTCCAATCTCTGTAAAGATCAGCTGCTGCTCTGAGACTCTGCCTCAGCGGGAGATGAAACATTTGAAAAACACAAAAGATGAATTTGCGAAAAGCAAATATAGGATAGTAAAAGAACAGTGACGCCACTTGTTATTCATTAAAAATGCCAACAATGTGGTGTTTTGACACTTATTACCAAATCACTTCTCTTCTCTAAGAATGTATATCTTGCAGTATCTATACACAAAGCTCAAAGCATAACATGTTTTTTTTCTATTCCGTGTTCTTGGAGTGTGTGAAAGGGTGTGATTTACTGTAATGTTATCCGTACTGCATGTTCATCAGAATATTCTGAGATCAGCTGAATCTGACAGGAAGCATCAGAAGTTGAATTAGAGTTCAGCATGAAGGTGCTTCCCCAAACTCTTTTTAAAGTGCATCACTGTTTGGCTGTGCTGCAGGAGACCCAGCAGATTCCCACTGAGGAGGTGCAGCTAGAAATCTACCTGTTCAGTGGCCAGAAGGTCAAAGTCAACATCCTCACATCGGACCAGACTGAAGATGTTCTGGAGGTGAGACGGTTTCCAAAGCACACATCTGCTTCATGTTCTCCAAGCCTATTATTATTGCCAGGTTTATGCCTTTGTCGTTTTGAATAGTATTGTCTATGGTTTACTGACACCTTTCATTGAGTTAACATGATTACGCTGTATTTCTATCTGCAAAGAGACAGTCAAGTTTATTCATGTCTTCAGTTAACAAATTCATATGGTCAAGGCCAGAAATACATAAAAACAGGACATACACAAATTTATTTGATTTTACAAGTTAAGGATTTATATTTGTTAGGGCCTTTAAAGTTAACACTGCTAATTACATTTGTTTATTGCTCAGAAATAGGTATATTCTTATGATACAAGAGAAACCAATAATGTTTTGCCAAAATTTGAGTCATTTCTAGCTATTATTGCAAATTTTCTTTGTAAGGACAACTTAATTTGAATAGATAGATAGATGGATGGATAGATAGATAGATGGATGGATAGATAGATGGATGGATGGATAGATAGATAGATGGATGGATGGATGGATGGATGGATGGATGGATGGATGGATGGATGGATGGATGGATAGATAGATAGATAGATAGATAGATAGATAGATAGATAGAGTTTCTATTTTATATACACTGCCTTTCAAAACCGTTTAGGCTCAGTAAAGTTTTTTTTTATTGTTTATTTTTTTATTAAAATGATCAAAAGTGACAAAGATATTTATAATTTTAAGCATACATTGGAATTAATTCATAAATTAAAAAAATAATAAAAATGTTCACAAAAAATATTAAGCAGTACAACTGTTTGCAGCATTACTAATAATGTTTTTGAGCAGCAAATAAGCATATTATGATTTCTGAAGGATCATGTGACACTGAAGGCTGGTGTAATGGCTGATGGAAATTCATCTTTGTCATGCCAACCCTGAAACAACATACAGAACTACCAAATTTTGATTGACTACCAAGTTTGATTGCATCATATAATAATTGCTGTTAATAGTGTTCATCGTCTGTTTGATTATGTCTTTAATTGATTTTTCCGTACATTTCTGCCATATGTACATAAACTGACAGTCACCACTGATAAGCTACCACTAAATATTGTAGAAACGTAATTTTCTGTAAAGATGCTTTGCAACAATTTGTATCGTAAAAAGCGCTATACAAATAAACTTTAATTGAATTGAATTGAATTGAATCACAGGAATAAATTGAGCCTGGGTTGTAAGGGCTTTAAAGGGGTTATATGATGTTGCTACAAAGAACATTATAATTGCTGTTAATAGTGTTCATCGTCTGTTTGATTACGTCTTTAATTGATTTTTCCATACATTTCTGCCATATGTAAATAAACTGACAGTCACCACTGATAAGCTACTACTAAATATTGCAGAAACTTATTTTTTTGCAACAATTTGTATCGTAAAAAGCGCTATACAAATAAACTTTAATTGAATTGAATTGAATTGAATCACAGGAATAAATTGAGCCTGGGTTGTAAGGGCTTTAAAGGGGTTATATGATGTTGCTACAAAGAACATTATTTTGTGTATTTGGTGTAATGAAATTTGTTTATGCGGTTTAAG